TTTTTTTTTTTTTTTCATTTTTTCAACTCAAATGTATCAAGTATGCTGGTAGTGGTCCATGATTGGAACTCTTAATATGACTTGTAGGTCTAATAATGTGGTTCTATACTTATTTTTCAGGACCAGAGTCGTCAAGAATATCAATGGCAAAAAAACTCATGGAAATGGAATTGGTGGACTGGAATATAAAAATCCTTGGTGAGGAAGGGGTGATACCTCCGTTGCTCGAAATGGTAACAGGAAATCTTGAATCTAAACAATCAGCTCTGTCTGCATTGGTCAAATTGTCCAGTTGCCGTGAGAACAAAAGGCTGATTGCAGCTTCTGGAGGGGTTTGCCTTGTTCTTGAACAAATGTTCTCTTTCCATGTACATTCTATCATTGCTAGGTGTGCTGAGATCCTTGAAAAACTGTCCTCCCGTGGTGATGGAATTGAGTTCCTTGTTGATGAAAATGGGGCCCAACTAAATTTAGAGCAGATTGTTTCCAACCTGTTAGCATTTCAACAGAATCCAAACTCATCCAACACAGTGCGCAAGCCTGCCTTGCAAGCATTGCTAGGTATTTGTAAGTCTGGAGAAAGGTGTGTTGAAAAAGCAGTACTCAGTGCTAATGGGGTTTCTGTCATCCTTCCTTCACTAGATGACCCTGATCAGGAAATCCGAGAAGTTGCCATTAATCTGTTATTCCGCTTCTCCCAGATTGAGCCACAGGAAATTGGTGAGTTTCTTCTCATGAAAAGGAGGCTGGAGACACTGGTAGGCTTTCTTGAGGATGATAGTAAACGTGATGTGCAAATGGCAGCAGCTGGGTTGTTGGCCAATCTTCCCAAATCTGAAACAGCACTTACGGAGAAGTTAATTGAATCAGATGGGCTGCAAGCAATCTTGAACATCTTGAAATCTGGGAGCATGGAAGCAAAGGAGAATGCACTTGGTGCACTCTTTAGGTTCACAGATCCCACAAATCTCGAGTCACAACGATTGGTGGTTGAGTTGGGTGCCTACCCTTTTTTTCTGAGCTTTCTCAAATATGGTTCTGTAGTAGCCAAGGCAAGAGCTGTGGCCCTCATTGGTAACCTGTCTTTGAGTAGTCCTAAACTAACTGTCATGTCCGAACGGCCGAGCTGGTTGTGCTTCCATCCATCACGTGTACCCATATGTAGGGTGCATGGAGGCACTTGCAGTGTGCAAACCTCATTTTGTCTGTCGGAGGCCAAAGCTTTGCCTGAACTGGTAGAAATCTTGCGGGAGAAGGTTCATGAAACTGCCTATGAAGTACTACCAACACTGTCTACATTGGTTTGGGAAAGCTCATGCCATGGAGGTGCAAATGTCTTGCATGAGGCCAATGCCATCAAACCCATACTGGATGTTCTGAACTGGGGAATGCCCTCCTTGAAGGAAGAGGCCCTGGGAGTCTTGGAAAAGGTATTTGCAACAAAAGAACTGGCTGAGATCTATGAACCAATTGCTAGGGTACCACTTGTTGGTATGACAACTAGAAGTATCAGTGATGATAGTCAGCTCGGGAGGAAGGCTGCTAGAGTCTTGGCACAACTGGAACGATATTCCAAATCATCAATGCCAATTGTTTGAAGGGGAAAGAAATGTCCAAGATGCTGCTTTGGATCAACTTCATTGTCATTTATCTAAGGCCTCGTCCCAATTATGTGGGGTCAGCTCATGAATCCTACTTTGCCATTCCATTCTGGTCAGTCCTTAAAATCATTTCTTACTACTCTGATCCATGTCCTTTTTGGTCTGCCTCTTTGGATAACAGAGGAAAATTTATGTCATCTCATCTGAACCGACTCTGAAAATTTCACAACTGGCCTAATGTGCTCTTATGGATCAAGTCATCACAGATGCAAAGTAACATTTGCTTTGTCTATATTGTCAATTATGAACCCTCCAAACATGTGAATTACATTCTGTATAGGAAGCCTTTGTATTTGCGATATCTTTCTTTTTTTTCTTTCCCCAAATTCAAATGCGGGTCCTGATCTTTGATTAAATACTCTGAAAAAAGGAAATTTTGGTGATATGTTCCATTAGTGAATTCATACAAGTAAGCAAAGGACTTTGAAGATCTGAACCAAATTTATTTATTTAGAGAAAGCTTAACTCATTCTGAAGTCCTAGCCATCATTTGTAACAGCTGAAGGAATTGAATTCCAGTGTTTAGTTAATCCCAACAATGAAAGAAGATCGTAAATTGCAACTCTTCTTTATGTGAAGTTATCATTTGTAATACCTGGAGGAGCTTATTCCATTAATACTGATTAGAATTTCCAAATGATACACATGTCATATATGGTCATCTGTTTCCATGGTTCAGGGACAATTGTTAAAAGGCAACAAGTAACTTTAGGAGGCTGGCAAGTTCAGAGATGAAAGCTGGAAGTGCAGGCCAACCGATTGAAGTTAGGAGTTTCCCATGAGCAACGGACTCGGTAGACTCCACCAATCCACCAGCCACCTTGACTATGGCCTTCATTGCATGACCACTTGCGCATCTCTTACCCTAGAAGAAAACAACCGGAATGATATTAGTTATTTAGTTATATATTTCAAGAAGTAGATTATAAAGGTTATTGCTACTGTGCTGCTCAGTTAATGCTGCAGGCCTGCAACATGACTCCTACCAGACAAACCCAATCAAGGGAATTTACGAGGCAGTAATGGCCAAAAGCCAAGGATGTAGGCCATTCATAATTTCATATACAAATTGGTATCCTTGTGCCCAAGGTTATCCCGTCTCCCCAGAATAATAAAGCGAGATAAGTTCACCTCCAATAAGCCAGCAGCAGCCAAGAGCAGCTTCCCTTGTCCGATTCCTGCAATGATCTTGTCCTTCTCTGCAAATTCCTTGACCAGTGCAACCGCCTTGTCATCCATGACCAGAAACTCTGGGGATCTTCCTCCAGGTATCACAAGGCAGTCGTAATCATCAATGCAGATATCATTCCAATCAGCAGTAATCATGAAATTATGGCCCTGCTTCTCGCTGCAGACTTGTGCACCCTCAGGGTCGTGGATGGCTGTAACACATTTCTTTCCTTTCCTCTTGCTTGGGCTTACAGCATCAACCCTGCAGCCCAATCCTCCCAAGGCTTGGAATGGGACATTTATCTCGTAGTCTTCTACGTAATCCTGTCATGTAAGTTGAACAGATCATCACTCCAAAGAAACAGAGAGAGAGAGAGAGAGAGAGAGAGAGTACCCCACATAAGAAGAGCACTGCTTTACTCTGTGATTTCAAGATGTTGGCTCCCATTGATCGAAGGAGAAGATTGAGGTACTCGGCATGTGCAGGCCAACCTATTGCACTGATGATGTTTCCATCGTGCACACATGTGGTCACAGGCTCTGGGTCTAACCAAACACCCCCAGCAAGCTTAATGACCGGTTTCATGCTTGGAAATGCAGTGCATTTCTTGCCTTTCATGACCCCAGCAGAGACTAAGATCAGCTGGCTATGGCAAGTGGTTGCAATCGGCTTCCTAGTTTTGGCAAACTCGGTTACAATGCTCAACACCTTATCGTCAGAACTGAGTAGCTCAGTGAATCGGCCTCCGGGTATGATGAGAGCGTCATACGACTCGGGTTTGACGTCGTTGAAGTTAAAGTTCAGAGTGAAATGATGGCCTGGCAGTTCTGTGTATAGCTGTTGAGATGATTCAACGAGAGTGTTAGGCTTATACGCAGATCTGAAGCCAAGATGGCGGCATAACGACTCGGACTAATGGACTGTCCTAGTGACTGGCGTAGGAGTTCGGATATGCTCACAGAACACGCCTGACACCATTCTCTCAGTGCATAGCGGCTGTACGTTGGGAACATTTTTCTATGAATGATAACATCATGTACGAGAGATGTTTTAGCGCACAGCTGCAATGCGCTGCAAGGTTGGTGCAACTGACGAGGCACATTCTGTGAGGAGCAGATTCAATCTCCTCCTGGCATAGTGGTGTTGATGGAAGTAGGCCAGTAGGGATGTGGGTTTGGGAGGGCTTTCTAATTTTAGACCCTATCTACTTCCATAAACCTTCAAATCCATACCCTCCCCAAAATTCATGGTGGGTTAGATTTTTTGAATTGAAAATGTAAAATCCTCCCCAATTCTTTATTCTCTATGCATTTGAGGGCAAGGTGGTTCAGGTTGAGTTTAGAACCCATATCTAAATATCTAATTTCCTATTATATAGAAGTGATAAATAAGTCAAATAATATGAACAAATATCAAAATTCCTAATTATTTGATCAGAACATGTAAAATATACATAAACTATTAGTTATTTTTCACATAGAATTCAAAACATAATTAAATTCAACATTTGATACAAAAAATCATATACCTTCTAACCAAGGTTCAAAATATCGATACGATATGAGTTTCGGTCGTATCATATTAGTACTTATTAGTACTTAGAAATGGTCAAAATATTATTTTATTTTTAGTTTGTTTGATTTTTTGGGAAGCTTTTAGTATGTTTTTTATTATTAAAAAAATTGGGGGTCCAAAACACCTGGAAACAAGTGTTTTGGACCGTATCTTTTTCAAAAGATACGATACGATTCGCCCCGTATCAGACGTATCGTATCGATACTTTGAACCATGCTTCCAACGATACACAGGTTGGAAAAGGTCAGTTTTAGCCTAATGTTGTACCCCAACCATACCTGTGCAGATTGTAAGATCCTAAAACCTGTCCCCACTCTAAAATGTTCAAACAAAAAACTCACTATCATGGCGGGTAGGGGCAAGTATTTGTCCGATAGGATAGAAATGAAGGTACTGATCCGACCCGTTAACCGACAGCCAGATAAATTGTAGGTAAGCGTCAGGCAACAGGGTATGGGTATTGAAAAAAGTTTGATGGACAGTGTATGGCCTCATAAATCTTGATAGTTAAACAAATTATTGGAAAAACAAACTCAATTTTTTTTGAAATTCTTAACGACATGCTCATTTTTATAAATGGTACATATACGTATATATATATATATATATATATTTGTATTAATGCAAATAAAGTTGCACAGTAGAAGAATTGCTATTACCTCGTAGCCCATGTAGTCATGAACGGCGGTGATGCACTTGTCGCCGGATATCTTGCCGGGGGAGACGCAATCGACCCGGATTCCGAAAGCCTGGAGAACATGAAACGGCACGATCGTCTCGTAGTCCTCCATGTAATCTCCGCAGATCATTAGGGCGGATTTGCGTGCAAGAGAACCCATGGTTTGAGATGGGAGAGCGGTTTCTGTGGCAGAGAGAGAGAGTCGGACTGAAATAGAAATACCTGCACTGAGTGGAAGCTGCTGGTGCTGGGGCTACGGGGCTTTGTTGATTCCCAGAGTGACAGGGCTTGGCCCAATTCCCACGTGAGGCTCGTTGGCAGTTCTCGTCCGCTGCGTTCCATGCTTTCACGCAGTCACGCTGCGAGCTCTCCGTGGGTGTGGCGTGTGGGCCTCTGGCCTCACTATAAAATTGGGGTCCATTGTAAAAATAGGACCGCTATGCATGAAATATGCTTTTGTTGTCAGGTGATCTGGACTCCACCTTTTCTACATTTCCGGTCTGCATCAGTTTATCACTTTATGATGCCAATTTATTGGTTATTAGTTGATATCATGCATTTTGGTTGTGTTTGGTTTGGTTGAAAATAAAAAATAAATAGAAATTTGAAGGAAAGTTCACGAACGAATATAATAAAGATAATCTCTAGGTAGCACAGTCAGGTTTGCATTATATAATAAATATATCTTGTTGGATTTTAGCACTCATTAAAAAAAATGATCTATTGCAAACTGATGGATATGGGATAGATTAAAACGGGCATGAATTAGAAATAGCAAGAAATAATATAATTAAAATGCTCATAATTTAACAATAGATATGGCATTTAGATAAAATCAATTGTGTATTTTATGTCAATTCCACCTTTTTAGATACTCAATCGTGTATTTTATGTCAATTCGACCTTTGACGGGGCTTAGATCCTTATTATTGAATATATTCTGTCATTGATCTATTTTCATAATATGAAATTTTATTTTATTTTTCTAGGGAACGTTATTCATTTTTTATTCTGTATAAAAAACTATGCATTTTATTCTGTATATTATACAGAATAAAAAAATGAACCTTCCTTGCTATTAATACGTTGTTTTCCTTTTCGAAGCCTCTAGTCTATGTTTGGTTTGACAGGAAATAAGAGGGAAATAGAAAGTTGTTGAGGCCTGAGGGAAAGTTCTTTGTGAAACTCCTTGAGAACTTTCCCTCAACGTCCTATTTTTCTCTTATTTTCTATCATACAAACTACAGCCCTAATATTAAAACCATTAGCCATAGATTAATAATGTCCTCAAATTCCTCTCCATACATTTTAGAAGTAGAGTTTACATTAAGGTTATGTTTGGTTTGAAGGAAAAGGTAGGGAAAGGAAGGGAAAGACAGGAAAACCAATACAATACAACCCTTGTATTGGTTTTCCTGTCTTTCCCTTCCTTTCCCTACCTTTTCCTTCAAACCAAGCATAACCTAAGTTCCCCATGCATGTTTAAGATATAAGCTCTAACAGTAAGATTCTCTCTAATTAGGAGCTATAAAAATATCTTGATTTCAGGTGGGATTTATTTTTTATATGGTTTTCAAAACCTTTAATAATTTTATATCTTTTCAACACTTTGATCCTTAATGAACTCGGACAAGTTTATGTTGAATTTTCTGCTTGCATTTGGACCTTACCATACGTTGTATTTGTTTGTTCCATTTCAAGGGATGAAAATTGCTTTAATAACTTATACCACATTGTCTTCAATTTTTGCATATTCCATTTCTTATCCTCCATTATGAATTTGTTAGCTCTTAAATCAGTTAATTGGCTTTTGTTATGAATTGGGATTTGAGTATATATAAAATGGTGTCTCCATCGTCCATTTAATCTTAGTCAAGGAAAAAAAAGAAACATTTCTTTTGTTGTCTCCAATCAGTAATCACCCACCTCAATCCTTTTTAGATAAATTCTTAGTCTAATATTCTTTTCTTTTTCTGTGGAATGCCATTTCAAAGAAAAAAAAAAGAAAAGAAAAGACATTGGTTAAAATAGTAAGAAATGACTTAAGAATTCATAATTTAACAATGGATATTGCACTTAATAAAATAGAATGGCGAAATAGGATTCATATATAGCTGACCCCATATACTCGTATAGTTGGGACAAGGCTTAGATGATGATGATATATTTTGCTCTCAAGGCCTTCTTTTAGGAGGGTTGTTCTCCAACATGAATATTTTTGTTTTCATTTGTTTTTAGAATCACCACATCAGCAAAAAAAAAAAAAAATGTTCTTGAACTCTGTTTTTATTTTCTAAAAATAAAATAAGTTGGTTTTATCGGAGACACCAATGCATTCAAGGTTTGGGGTTCTAAAAGTTTGGGGATAATACTTGGGCCTCTTTCAGAAAAAAAAAAAAAAAATCAAAACAAAACAAAAACAAAAACATGTTTTCGGATTCTGTTTTTGTTTTCAAAGATAAAAACAAATTGGTTTTGTTTTGAAAAATAATACATGCTATTAAAACATATAAAAAAATTAGTTTTTGAAACAAAAACAAATTTTCTAGTATAGAAATCATATGGTTTGCAGAACATGATGTTGAATAATCAGATGAAAACATATTTTTGAAACCAGATTCAAGAACATGTTTTTTATTTTAATTTTGGAAACAAAAAATATATACACAACCAAGAACATGTTTCTTGTGTTTTTGTTTTATGAAATAATCTGTTTCTAAACAAAATCGTTTTGATTTGTTTTCCAACCAGCAACAAGAAAAACAATTTATGTTGTAGAATGCTCCCTTAGATGTTACCATCCAACCTTTAATTTTCTAATATTCTCTGCCATATTTGCGTGGTTGATGTCTTCTTCCCTCTTGATGCATAATCCTCTTCATGCAAGGCATACGTACATACTTTTCCAATTTGCTAAAGCCACTAGGTCTATTACCTGTCCAAAAGCTTCTTCTCATCCTTCGGTTTGGTTTGGCAACTTCCACCCTTTTGATAAGATCAATGTGGGGATGCATTAGTGGTTGGCCATGGTGGGCCCCATCCATGATTGCTCCATGGCCAAGGCTGAAAGCCGTGTTTTCTCTGAGGCTGCATTTGGTTGCAATGCAAAGTTGTTTGTACTGATGCAAAATCATGGTAATGCAAATAATTTGGGTGCAAATTTTGATTTTTGTTTTGTTTCAAATTTTACCTTATTTTGATTCATTGCAATATAAATGAGGTAAAATAAGACATGAAGAAGAAGAAATTAAAACCCAAACCACAATCAAATCAGAATTTGCATTCTTTTCATTTTGTACTCCCATGCATTTGTATTAATGCAAAATGAAATTGTACTGCAACCAAACACAGCCTGAAGGTATTGAAATATGTAAGGCTATGTTTGTTATCATTGTGTTGCAAGCTGCAACGTTTGGGGTTGGTGTTACAAATTTGTGAGATGATATGTTTTGTCTATGTATAAACATTTTGTGTTGATTAATATAAGGGTTCGACTATCATGTGGAAAAAATATGATATCCGAAAAACAACGGACCAATAAATTGGAATCATAAACGTGGTGGTGAATAAGGTGTCATCTATCAAAGTTCATAAGTGGGTTTTGATGAGTCAAAACTCTTTCCATATCATATTTTTTCCGCATCATAGATTTTTCCTTAATTATAAATTTATAAATTTCTATTTTTATTTAAAACCTCAAATTTGAAGTTGTCCCTTGTATAGATCATCTACCAACACATGGTGCCAACTACATCCCAACTCACCATTGCATCCGTATTTCAGGAGCATCTCCCATGAATGATGACAAGAGAGATGCTCCCAATGTGAGGCCACAGTGGCCTATTGGGACTGGGTTGATAGCATTCGTTGGTGGTGGATCCCTACCAACAATCTGTGTCTCTCTTTGCAAAGTATTTATTTGGAAAATGACTTCCTTGTTTCTTGGCGGCTTCAAGTAGTGATTGAGGATTGCAAGAGAAATCACATTTGGTTCTCACAAGACCGTGCTCACACCGTTCGCAGTCCCTTACAGCCTTGCATTATAAATATTTCCTGATGAAAAAAAAACATGCAAGTATGGAGATATTCCCAATGCAAGGTTGTAAAAGACTGTGTCGGTCTTGTGAGCACTAAAGCTGATTTCTTAACATTCTCCTTTCAATATTTGAATCCCATGAAAGTAATCTATATTTATATATTAAAACAAAGTGGTCAAGAAATTTTCTCATTTTTTGTTTTTTTTTTATTCTATGTCATTTTTTAAACAACCAATGAGATGCACTTTCCCAATAACCTAAATAATCTCTTCTCCTAAAATTTATCCTAAACTACCTCCCCTACTTTGTTAGAATTATCTCTAATTCCTATGTATCTTCTAAATTGTCTCTAATTCCTATTTATCTCCACAATTATCTCTAATTCCTATTTATCCTCTCCCTACTTTTTATCTATATCTATCTAAAGAAAGTTCACATTAAAAAATTTAAGAATTATTTAAATATTCTAACAAAATTTTATAATAACATTAAAATATTTATTAAAAACACAAAAAATAAATTTATATTTTTACAAAATATATCATTAAATTATGTACTAACAATTTAAGTTATGTTTTTCCGAATTATCAATTTAAATGCTTTTCAAATATTTAATAATATGTAATAGCTTTAAATAAATAAAATTCAAATAACAAAAAAATAAATATTTTATATATTATTTAAATAACTAAATATTTATCATAACTATATTTTAAATAGTTAAAATAACGAAATTATCTAATAAATAATTTTATATTTTTACAAAATATATCACAAAATTATGTACTAACAATTTAAATTATGTTTTTCTGGATCATCAATTTAAATGTTTTTCAAACATTTAATAATATGTAATAGGTTTAATTAAATAAAATTCAAATAACAAAAATTTTTAATTATTTTATATATTTATTATATTTTAGTAATTATTTATTGTTTTTCTGATAAATGCATTTTCAATGATTATGTATAAATTTATTTTTTTATGTTATTTAATAGAAAATCTTCAATAATTATTGAAGATTAAACTACTATTAGTGAAAATTTTAAATTTAATTTATTATACTTATTGTATTTATTGTATTTTTGTTATAACTTATTGATTAATATTTTTAGAGATTAAACTAATATTTGAGATTATACTATTTATTGAATAAGTTAATATATTTTTAGTAATTATTGTATTTTTTTCAATATCAATTTATTTTCAATAATTGTATATTTTTGCTATAAATTTTCAATAATTTTTGGAGATAAACTATTGTTATTTATCAGAGATGAGACTATTAGTTTAGTTGAAATTATGTGTGTTCATGAGTTGGTTCGGTTTGGTTCGGCCATAGGCTATTTGGCCAACCAAATTGACCTGGTCAAGTTGGAGAGTTGGTCAGCTAAAATCGACTGACCTTTTGTGAAAACCGACCCACTCAAGTTGTATCGGTTTGGGTCGATTTTTTGGTTTGGTCAGTTGACTCAAAATATTTAAACTTAAAAAATAAATTTAATTTTAAAAATTATAGTGCAATTATTAAAAAATAAATTTATGATATAAAACATTTTAGACTAAGAATTATGGGAAATTTCCCATTTTTCCATATTACAAATTATATTTAAAATATAAAATATTAATATATATCCATGGTTAGGTCATTCGGTTTTGGTTGGTTTACAAATGGCCAAAGTAAAATTGATCCAAGTTGGTCGAATTGGGAAATTTTTAAACCAAAGCCGACCTAAAATACTAGAAAACCGACCAACTCGGGTCAAGCTGATCAGTTTCATCAATTTGATGAATAAACCTAATTGAAATTAATTATTGTTATTTTTGTATTATAAAAAATTTATTAAAAGTAGAATATAAAATATAAATAATTATTAATTATTTAAAAAGTTAAAAATATAAAACAATTGTATAATCTTATGTGATTCTATTAGGGTCATTTACTAGAACACATCTTATAGTTTTACATATTTACTTAAACCTATCTTATAGTTTTCATTTTATTAAAACATCCTATATATTTTACAACTTATTTACTTAATCAACCTTTCATTAAGTAGTGTTTGTTTTGTCATTAGGCCCATGATTTTTTATTCCAAAAAGACCCTTAACACTATTTTTGGTACATAAAACAAAATTAACCAAATATAACCAATAGAGTGGTTCCCCGTGTCTTATAAAGGGAAAAAATGGTATTTTTATTTTTTTGATTAAATCCATTGCAAATTATAAGATTTGCAAATTATAAGTGGTTGCCCGTGTCATTTTCCATTGTCATCTAATGGAAGATTGATTAAATCCATTGCAAATTATAAGTGGTGTTTTAGTAAAATTTTAACTATATATTGGGTAGATTTTAGTAAATCCATGAAACAATAAGGGGTATTTTAGTAAATGACCATTTCTATTATTTAGCTTTCACTTAATAATACTTATTATATTTTTGTTGTACTTTATTCATTGATATTTATTAGAGATCAAACTACTTTATTTATTAAAGATTAAAATAATAATTTAGATAAAATTAGGAGTGTTGATTACGGCTTGGTTTAGTTCGGTTGTAAGCTATTTGGCCAACTAAATTGACATGGTCAGGTTGGGAAGTTGGCTACCCGAAATCTATTGACCATTAGTGAAAGCCAACTAAATTGGGTTGTATTGGTTTGGGTTGATTTTCGGTTTACTAAATTCGTTTAAAAGATTACATTGAAAACTTAAATTTAAATATTAAAAATTAGACTAACATTATTAAAAAATAAATTTATAATATAAAATATTTGAGACTAAGAAATATGAGAATTTCCCACTTTCCCGTATTAAAATAATATATATTAAATATAAAAATATTAATATATATCTGTGATTGGGTCATTCGATTTTGGTCAATTTACAAATGGCCACAACTAAACTGATCCCAATTTCAATCGAAAATATTAGAAATTGAGTAATTCGGGTTGCGTTGATCGGGTTGGTTAGTTTCACCAATTCGATGAACAAGCTTAACTAAAATAAATTATTGTTATTTTTGTATTATAAAAAGTTATTAAAAGTATTATAAAATATAAATAATTAATCATTATTTAAAAAGTTAAAAATATAAAACAATTGTATATTCTTATGTATTTTATTATTTAGCTTTTCTTAAGAGATGAACGGGTCTCCGCTAGTAATGTTTATGATTACACCATATCAACCTCACAATAGATCCCACTAAGTATTGGGATTTGGTAATATCTTCTTAAATAACAGCACAAAGTATATGAGATGTTTCCCATATAAGGCTGGAACATGCTGTGTGAGGAGTGCTCTGTTAGTTGGGATCTCCTGACAACAAAACATGTTCCGCTTCCCTATTAAGTTGATCTAACACCGCACATCTCACCATGAACAAGGATCCACCATAAAAGTGGGACTCATCATGTATGGGATGTGTGATGTCAGATCATGTTTATAGAGTGTTGAGTAAATTTTGATTCTCTCTTAACAAGCCAGCGGCTGGCAATAGGGACGTTATGAAGGAGTTCCCTTTTGCTTCTTACCACCGTTCTATCGCAGGGATAAAATAGAAAATTATGGCCTTTAACTCTTAAGATGTTAGATGTACTTCGCATCTTTTGATTCAATGGGGCCATAGTAACAAATAAGGGCTTTGATTTAGTTGTTTCAGCGCAGTGTCGTAGCATCGTAACAAATGTGGGTTGGTTATGGAACATCTCTAGCGAATATTTATACAAATTTGTAGAGTGAAAAACCTTATATTTATATTATTTTGTATGTATTTGTATATATTTGTCAACGTCACTGAACTTGTTTAGGCTAACTCCCACAAACTACGGTGCTTCAAATTCCTCGTACCAAAGTATAGAAGGCCAGAGAGCTTTTGAATCAGTGAGAAGCGCACCCCAGGTTAGAAATGATAGCCAAGTTGTTATCCTTAGCGTCTCTGATGCCAACTCTACCTTCAAGTTTTGATTCTGTGAAGGAGTGCCACTCTTTCATGCAAAATGCCTACGATCTGATATATCTTCACCAAAAATCCCGGATCGTAGCAGTGTACCCATATGATAAACCGGCATGGAAGAGAGGATAGATTTGATAAGCTGCGGAAATCACACTTGAACAATCGCATTGATGTCTGATTATTTCTACACCTCTCTCTCTGAAAGAAGAATCCTCGACCGGAATCGGTCTCTCCCTCCTGAGCACGAATTGCAAAGGCGTTTCTTTGGCTTCGGGATACCTGACCTGCAATCAAATTCATAGCTTTCTGAGATCTATTTCCTCCTATGCCTCGAAAACCAAATGGTTCTCTTTTCCTTGGAATTCTCACGGACACGTTGGCTGCACAACTACAAAAACCCATCTACGATCATTTCTCTTTTGAGAGATAACGCTGCAATTTCGATAAACAATGGGATTTTCGAGTCAGATTTTCCTTGTTTCGATCTTCTTTTGCTTATTCGCATCTGGGTCTTCTTCAATAGAGAATTTTCGTCAGGCGTAAGTGGACTATATGTTTGTAACTACTTGTTTTCTTTTGTTTTGTATTTCAAATTCATGGGCTTGTTTTCTTTGGAATTTCCAGTGACTTAGTATTCATCATAATTGTTGTTTCTTAATTAAACTGGGATGTTTTTGTTAACCTGGTAATTTTGTGTTAGAAGGAAGTTCGTTCTGTTATATTGATCTTATCTTGTAATGTGCCTCATTGGCAAGTACTTATTTTGAGAATTTAAACCAAACAGCTTTAATAAGGTATACTGCTAGATTGTAATTGTTCCCCTTCTGCGATATACATTTGTGGTTTATGTTTTCAGTAGGTTGCCGGAAACTGCCATAGATTGATTGACCATTGTGATTCAACATTAACTAGTATAATAACCGTTTATTCTACAAACGGTGGAAATGATTACTAAAGATGACTGTCATCCTTTTGGTTGGGGGAAAATTGTCTATTTGAGGACAATTTCAACAGAGTGGTTTTCTCTCTCAAGGCAAACCTACGAAGGCCCAATCCTAATTTGTAATTTCAGGATAATATGCCAATTGCTAAGTCAATGTAAAAAAGAATATGTGAGATCATAAGCAGATCAATAGCACATTATGAAGAATCATAACAATCATTACCATTGCCTTATCTAAACTATTTATGGTCATCAATATGAATGATGAATTCTATACTGACAAATATCCTATTACTGTGCCGTTTCTACTGTCACAATGTATTTTCACATCTTTCCATATTAAAGTCTTACCTTTACATTTCCTTTCTTTTTCTGTAAGTAGTAATGTTTTAATTTAGGGAAATGTTATCTCCTGCACCACATGAAGTCATTCTTGTTGTGCCCTTACTTATTGTACAAACTTTTCTTTCTGTTACCTATTGGTGATACTTCTAGATTTCTTGGGTAGGCTTATTTTTTATTCTGTATTTTATGGTGCTAATGTTTAATTGTTCATCTAACTCCATGCCTTTTGTAGTTTCTTGACTGTCAAAAATAAGAAGTTACAGAGCAGTTTGCAAGTTGCATTATGAATTGAAAATTATTCAAGACTGTCAAAATAGTTGTTGAAGTTCTGGGTGCTTGTATCAAGTTTTTGATGCAAACGTATCTAGGATGGAGATGCTTTTGCATTGTAGCCTTTGGACATTCTCTTTTGAGCCAACAAAATTCTCATGGACTTGAAACTCAGATCCAAGGGAGAGACCAAGCATCTTGTGAATACCTTTTAGGTCCTATACATGTTGTATTTGAAGTTGGAGCTGGTGGCACACAAGTTTGTGCTATTGTTACTTCTGGAGTACAATAATTTCTCATTTGTTGTCATGGCTGTCTAGCAATGGATTTTTCTGGATAGTGCTGACAATAAAAATGATCCTTCTTTTAGTTTATTATATGTATGTATGTTATCAATCAATTAGAAAATCATTTGGATGCAGGATTTGTGGATGGGGTTAGATTTTTTGATGACCTGTGTTGGGTTTAAAACTTTATGTAACTTTATATCATCCTATCATCAACCTTGAATCCATAGCCATATAAAAACCAAGCCCATTCTTCCATAGGATTTATAGATGGTGGAATTCTAATAGGTTAATGAGATGATTGTACTCTTTTTTTCTCTCTTTATTTGTATTTCTTTGATATTGTTAATGATCAAAGAAATGGAAGTTGAAATTTTAACAAGGCTTCCCATCATATTGAGCAACTCAAGGATGTCCTTGTTTCCCTTTCTAAACCAGATAACAGGGTTGGCTTTTAGAGCTTGGTAGAATTGTTTTCTTTGTGATCTTGTCTAAACCTTTCTGGAAAGAGGAGAAAAATGATATGAACATGCTCATTTTTCTCTATCCTTTGGAGCATCTGTTATGAGAGGACTTATCGCCCAATGTCATCTTTTGTGATACCCAGATACTTGAACACACTTGGTATACCATGACACCATGATATTCCTGGAAGATATATTTATCATTTTAAAGTTTATTTTCTTTTTTCCAAGAAATGTTATTCTATTAACAATTTTATGTTGTGTACTCCATTACTCATTTTAAAACAAATATATGTGAATGCTGTATCTAAGATCAACTAAACTAGTATGAAACAAATTTCCCTAATCTCTTTTTGTGCATTGTGCTACAAGGAAGCTGAGACAGCAAACCACCTTTTCTTACACTGTAAGTTTGGCTATTTTGTGTATGCTAATTTCTTGGAAAGCAGTGCCAGAATATTTCTTAATAGAACCTTAATACCTCATCACAAGAAACTGTTATTGGAAAAGTTCGCTCATGGATGATTGGAAGAGAATTTGGGGATGTTTCCCCTCATCTTTTTTATTTATTTTTAATTCTACTAGTAAATTGAGGAACTAGATAAGAAACAAGCTTGAAGAGAGATTAGTGGGGAGGAAAGAGCAAAGAGATGGAACTTAAAGGTTGAGTTGGAAGAAATTTAAGGAAAGAGGAACTCTCTTGAAGGCAGAAATCTAGATGTAGGTGGCTGTTTGAAGGAGATGGTAATACTAAGTTCTTTCACTCTTTAGCAAATGGGAGAAGGAGAAAAAACCTCATTTCCAGCACATAGATGGATGGACAAGAGTTAACAAGGGAAGAGGAGGTTATTAAGGCTGTGTTTGGTTTGAAGGAAAAAGTAAGGGAAAGATAGGGAAACCTTTACAAACCTTGTATAGGTTTCCCTACCTTTCTCTACTTTTTCCTTCAAACTAAATTGTAGAGAGAATGGGCCGAATGGCCCATAGGCTGTTCTCATTTCTTTATGTTCTTATTTTTTTTGTTAATGGGCCTTTTTATGTTTCTTTATGTTCTTGTTTAATTAAGTAAATCACCCAATTAAGGGCCTACTTGTAATTACAGAAACTTTGTAATTATTTTTTAGATGGAAAGATTAGGGATGGGAGAGTGAGGTTCGAACAACTCATCTCCCAAAATCCTATTACAGCCAACTTCTTCTTCTTCTTCTCTCTTGGCTGCTGATATCTACCCCTTTTCACACCTTTTTAAATCAATCATTTCATTCTTTTGGACTGTTTTTCTTCTTGGTATCAGAGCGGGCTCTTTTCTTCTTCTTTTTTTCCCCATACAAAATGTGTATGGAGAGCTGAATCGAATGAGTGATTGAAGAAAGTATTCAGCCCAGTTGTTAGTGTTTTTTTTGGAGAAAAGGATGCTGTCTTGGTCATTATTTTGACAGTCCTTGGAGTTTTTTTGCCCAAAACCCTAATCAACTGGAGAATTCTGATTGCGGGCCCCATAGGGGGCTTCACCTTGGCGCTCAGTGACTGAAGGGGTTCTTCTTCTTTATCTTGAAGACCGATCCAAGTCTCATGCAGTTCTGTGAAGCCTACAGGGAGCGGCTGCAGTTGTCCTATTTCTCCCGGGTTCTGGGTGAGACACAGCTGGCAGATAAGACTTCATAGAGGTTGGTATTCGGTGTCTGTTTTTTCATGTCTTCCTTGTTTATCATTTGAAGTTACTTGAAGTTTTTTTGGATTTGTTTAAGGAAGATGGATGTATTTGGAGTTGAAAATAAGTTTGGCGTAGAGTCCGAACAGGTTTCGGGAGCACCAGTTGACTCTTTATTGGCTGTGACCGCAGTCAAGCTTTATGGAACTAACTATCTAGCATGGTCACAATTAGTAAAGATACATGTTTGTAGTAGAGGCAAGTTGGGGTATATCTCCAGGAGCAAGAAAGCACCACCGGAAGATTGACCCATCTTATGAGAAATGGTTGCAAGAGACTTGTTGTGAATCTTATTTATTGGTTCTCTGTTAGTATGCTGTTAGCCTAGTCTACCTAGGTGCTGTCAGCTAGTGTTCTTTTTTTCTTGTTAGTTGTTTATTATTAGGAATTGCCGCCAGGGGCATTCTTGTAACTTCTGTTCTTATTATTTTAAGTGAATATAAATAATGAGCTGGTAGCCGCCAGCCCTTAGTTTTTGAGTCTCAACCGAACATCTCTCTCTCTTCTCTTCTCCTCTACATTCTCTTCTCCTCTCTCTTCTCTTCTCTCTCTCTTAGGAAGGAACACATGCTATTAGAGCAATAATTCTGGGCTCGAAAATTGTTTTTCTCTCATCTGAATCTCAGTCTTTTGTTGTTCTCTTGATCTCTTGGATGTGGAAGACCAAGAATTCTAATTGGATTGTTCAAAGCTTTTGTGGTTGTTGTTCTTTGGGTTCTTCCTTGGTCGTAACACCAAGGAAGCCCTAACAGAAGAGGGGTGATGCTGGAATGACTCTCCTCTCTTAGTTCGATGCTGTGAAAAATATTTTCCTGGGTTTGCACCTTCATACAGGTGCTGGACAGGGGTATGTGTCCCCCGTTTTCTCTGTGGTCTATGCTGTGAAGGGCTGTGAAGGCCTTGGTTTTGAGGTTTACACCTTCGTACATGCGCTGGACAGGGGTATGTTTTTTTTTTTTTTTTTAATCATGTGCTGTTGTCAAACTGTTAGTAGGCTCTTTTTTTAATGACTACTTGTGGCCGAACTATTGCTGTTAGTAGACTGTTTTCAGTAGCCTGTTAGTAGACTAGTTGCTGTACTGATTACTGGGCTAAGGGCCAAACTATTGCTGAACTGATTTCAGCAGCATCTTTCTCATTCCAGAAGTGAAAATTCTTGGGAGTTTAGCATTCTGTTTGTGTGGGATCTGGTCTGGTATATTTGTGACCCTTCTTTTCTCAATGGCAAACTATGATTCAACATCATCTGGAGTTACACCAACTTGTAGTACAGCTGGTATGGGAGGTGAAAACATGATGTTTCCCATGCTAATTACCCCTTTAAATGGCCTGAACTACCTAGAGTGGGCTAAAAGTGTGAAACTTTATGTAACAGCAAGGGGATAAGCTGGTTACATAAATGGTAGAATGAAAGAACCCAAGTGTGACACAGCTGAACATGATAGGTGGGACCAAGAAAATAGTATGGTGATGTCTTGGCTCCTTGCAGCCATGGAGCTTGATGTGAAGAAGAACTTTA